ACTCCCACAGGATGCTGTCTTCCTACTTCAAGAGATTTGATATATATATTATGAGTTCTTCCCCAAAGTCTCACTTTCTGTAGGAATTCAAGTTTTGATTTCAAATTCTCATGCTGGGGATGTAAGGGGTCGGTGTTGGGGGTAACTCGATCACGGAATGCAGGCAAGTGGAATGAAACAAATCATAAGGTAAAGGGGAAAACAGAACTCTATTTTCTACAGTTTTTTTAAACTGCCTGTGAACGTTTGGTCCTTCTGCTAGTTGGCCTTCTCTCCCCTGCTGTGCTGAATCAAAGCTTCATAAATTCCCCACTCTTTTCAGAATGCAAAATAACTCTTGTGACATGCAGGAAATATTACTGTTGGCACAGGATTGTCAGTTCATCAGGAGAGAACTGTGTAACCAAAAATACTGCACAAAGCCAATGAATTATGTTGCCCATTCCCTGGAAAAAAAATCAGATTTATCAGTTGAGATAAGCAGTAACTGGATGCAAAGCTTAGGGGAAAATGTGAAGTCAGAACACAGAAAACAAAGAAGATGTGATAAAGCAAACACCACATTACTGAGGGAAGAAACATGCCCGGACAGAGGTCCAATACACAAAATTTGCATAACCCACAAAACCAGAATAGAAATAAAGTAGACAAAAACAATTTTGTATTTTGGATATCAAGTGAATTTTGAAGCCCTCCAAATCTGCATTCCTCACAGGAAGCTGTGCTAGGTGAAGTGAATTCCCATTGGATACCTAGATTGTCAGTTTACTTAATAAAAAAGCTTTAGAATTATGAAACTTCCCCTTGAAATGCTTCCCAACACAGGTGGAATAATAAGCGCCTTTCTGATTTGTAGAGATCATCCAGTCTTTTCTTTCTCTCACAACTTTGCAAAGTTAGGGAATGTGCTTATAGTCCTTACTGAAGTACACAACTATTATAAGCTACTCATCAGCAAACAAAACCATACACACTCTACAATAACTGGAAGCCTTTTCTAGTGTTCTGACACTATTTCAGGTTTATCTATATCACTGCATTTCTGTTCCAAGTTTCAGACAAAGAATACTGACATCACTACAGATTTGGCTCACATGTGATTAGAGCAGAGTGCAAATCTTGACCATTAATAAAGAACTGTTTCAAGTGTTAGCTGGGTTTCTCAATCAGCTAACAATTACGAAAATCTGCCAAGGAAAAGTAAGTCAGGCAATACTGACACTTGTGGTCATTTCTAGACTGCTATTTTTCACTCACTTATAAACACACTTGTGATGGTTAAGAAACAGGTTAGGATCATGAAGCAGCCCAACAAATTACAAATGTTCTCCAGCCCTTTCCCCTCCACTCTACTTGACTCATGGCAAAAGTCTTCTTTTTGTAGCACAGAGCCAAATGGCCCCTTGTCATATACATAATAATTCTTTACACAGAAAATGAAAACAAAGCATTTATGACATTCTGCAATAATGCATTTCCAGAATAAAGTTTAAAAGCAAAAATAACCAAGCTTGAAAATGTTACAATTACTTTGAACTGTCACTTGAATGGATTTCAACACATTACAGCTAAAATAATACAGCTTTTTACTATTAGAAAATTCAATCATCTTAGCAAAGTATTCATGGAGTAACCAGAAAGCACAGTCCATACAGGAGCATTCAGCAGACAGGCCAGCTATGATATATGTATTTAGTTTAACTTCCATGGGACTTGTGGCCACCAGGGAGAAAATTACCTGGCAGTACACACCTTGTGATCACTCTAAATTGATTTGAGAAACTTCTGTTAATGTTGTCAAGAAAGAACTTTATTTAATTAAATAAACTTAGGGGCTGAGTTATTTAAAAATCAGTTTGACAAGATACTGATACCCTCTAAAAATTACATGTAGGAAATTAAAGTTTTTCAAAGAAAGCATTCAAAAAACTGACTTTTGTTATGCATAATTACATTGTACATAGTTTACAGTTGTCATGTGCACAGGTTATTCAAAGTAGACACTTTTTCTGACTCCTCACATCTGCTTCTAGCTTTGCACAACTCACTGAACAGTGAAGCTTTCAGTGGCCACAGTATCTCTGTAGTGCTCCTTACACACGCATTGCACATTTTCACATCAGAGTAACTCTAAGTCTTAATAGATGGCAGCATTTAAAACACTAACGCTGCAGCTTCTAATTTAAGGTGTAACCATAGCAACATTACAGAGCATACTACTCCTTGGATCAAGAACAAACTGTCCACTGACCCTTCACGGTGAGATTTAGCCGAAATAAAGCTCATTCCAACCTCTAGCACAGAGAGATTACTCAAATCTTCAGGTCATATTTGGAGTACAAAGCAAGCTCTGCCCGCCTGAAATACCCAGAAACATACAGTACCATAACAAGTAGTAAAGAAAGCACTGTAAAATAAAAGGAATTTCTTCCTGAATCTTTGACTCTCTAAAACTACATCAGTCACACCCAGACAGAAAGTAGGAGAAAAATCAAAGCTTTTACATACTTTTCTAGAAGATGAGCCAAGAATGAGTGAACAATAGAATTGTTCATTAAGATTTAAGAATATTCAACTTGTTCACATGCCAAGATGACAAATTTTACATTTATCAACAGGCTCTGCCTGAACTTTACAAGCTATGCCCAAGTGCTACGGTCATAAAAGACAAAGCTGATGTCAGTTCTCTTCTCAATTCACTTTGAAACTGAGTAGATTCAGAAAATATGGCCCTTGGGATTTTTGTACCTTTACTTTTTACTAATGAGCATTTACAGATAAATAAAAATAGCTCAGCCCACCCCAATAGGTAAACTTACCACAAGTAAGTCACAGAATTTCCTAGCTATACTTCAGGTATAGTAAAGCAGGAATAAATAAAGTAGAAATAGTATGGATTTTAATAACCATTCAGTTGAGATTTAGACTTGTTTCACATATGAAATGTTAAGTGTCTTACGTAAAAATTTAAAAAATCAAAGACAGATTGACATGCTGGTATTCAAAAAAACATTACTTGCTTCTATGTAAATCAACATAGGTAAATTAACTACATTAATATCTAACTTGATTTCCTACTTGTGGCTCAGAAGGTGGCAAATTGAAAATACTCCTAGCCAAACTCTGTCACACAGTCATATACATACAGAAACAGATTACATAAAATTCTGTATATTATATAGGGTAAGGATATGACGGTTTTGTGTGGAAAAGCTTTCAGTGAAAAATTCAGTAGATTGAGCACATATGCAACCTTTCAAAGCACTGATTCTCAGTTATTCATAAACATCCCAGAACAGTTAAGTAGTGCTGAACAGGTCTCTCCTCTCCTGCTCCACCACCCCACTGGCTTCCCCTCCATTATTTAAATACAAAATTTTTAGGGTGGAGCAGATAAAAGTTTTTACTAATATGCACTGTATATTGTAAATTGATATTTAGGGAATATGATTAAGCCCCATAAATGTCCTCAAATAGGATCACAGCTTTTGTGAAAACTGTCATTAGGAGAGGAAATGCATACATTAAAAACAAGACTTAACAGAGAAAGTTAGTGTATATAGCTAATTTATATAGGAGGATATAAACCTGATTATGTTTCTAGTAAATTATCAGAATATGCATCTAATAAAACACACTGACTGCTTGGTTAAGTCTTATTTGTCAGTAAAGGACACACCTACCCCCAATCCAACTAACCAGAGATACCATATGATAGAGCAAATATATTTTCTTTATCCTTTGGCTTAAAAAAAAAACCAACAATCCAAAGAGCCAGTCATTAACTTTTCAAAATAGATTCAACAAACACAGTGACTAATAAATACTTGGGCAAGTATGCTGGCAGCTTTCTATTTTCTGAGCTCTCTCTTGTGATATTTTATTTATAACATATAATAAATGTAATAAGATGCTTCAGCATAGAAGGGTCAGGATTAGAAAAAACAAGTGAAAATTGCTTTCATTAGGACCAGTAAGACAGTCTATAATATAGCTATGTCTTTAACTGACAAAAGATGTTTTAGATCCATCAATATGGAAATAAGGTGCCCCCAATTCTGCAATACCAGACTTCAACCTTTACCAAGGAAGAAATCCATTAAGAACAGAAAGGCAGCTTAACAGCATGTGCTTGTACATTAGTGTTGTCCAGCTTAACTGACTAACCTAAGATAACAAAAAGCAGCTTTTATAGCATAAGCATGTGTAAAGGAAGCTTGAGTAAAGAAATATTTTTTTTTTCTTTGGTATGAAGACACAAAAGATTTCTACTTGAAGAGAGCCAAATGGGTTAAATCAAGCTTCCGAATTGAAATGCTTTTAATTCCTTTGCGCTGCTGAACTGCTTTCGGAAGACAGGAATAGACTGTCTAGCATTAAAACAATCCACTAGAGAATCTTAAGTTACAGTGCTAAGGAAAAGTGAAAACAATTTGAAAAAAACCTCATTCATTTTATAATCATACAATTTTTATAGTATTCCCCTACCATTGTGCTTGAACTGAGTATGCATCATTTATCAAATAGGAGCAAAAGCCTTGAAAGCTTTCTGGCTGCCTTTCGATTTAGTCAAAATGAATGCAAACAATCACGTGGGATTCAGCCAAGCAATGACGTTAAATTCTGCTCTGTCAGAAGACAGCATCTGTCAAAGCCCACATTTAAACTGCTGCCTGCCTGTGCAGCAGCTGAAGAACTACGGAATGGATTTTATAGACCAGAATCCTCGGCTAAAACGTCTCAAAACCATTTCTATTACTGCCTAGCAACAATGAAGGAAGGAACAGAGGGAAATCCTATTGCTGAAGGCAACTGGAGCACTACACGCTAGTGCTCCCTCTAACATTACCATTAGAAATATGGATACTGAGGAGAAGAGAACACAGCACTGCATTGTCCGACAAGGGAAACAGCAGATGTAAAAGCTCCAATACCTCGGCCGTGAATGCCAGACAGCCTGGATCAGAACAGAAACGATAACTACTCTCCTTTTGCTTGTAGGATGAACAAAAAGCCCCAAGACAAGGGCAACACTTATGATCAAGGAAGGTAACACAGCAACGAGCAGACAGATGGACAGACTGGATACCGTGAAAAGCAATCGCAGGCAGCAGGCTGCTGGGGGATGTGCGCATGTTCGATAGCATCTTTTTTGCTGAAGTGATGGCGTGCCAAAACTCTTTTCTGTGGGTATAATCCTCGCACCATAAATGGCCTGACCAAGGAAGGTATGTCAAATCCTTGTGTGTGATATTCATTCAATTGTCTGTTACCTTTTCAACCATTACAGAGAACGATCATTCCTAATTTGTAGAGCCCTGGGATGACAGGGCTGTGAACAGGGAGAAAGAATTCTAGCAGGTTTTCCTCTCCCCCTGCACAATGTCACTCCCTTACACTTACTACATGCATTGCTTACAGTCTGCACAAGGTTGACATGCCTAGAGAGGAGGGATTAAAGGGATAATGTAGCTACTGTAATGATTGCTTTTAACTGAGAAATTAAAAACCCAAACCCCTCCAATACAGAACAGAAATCCTCTCAAACTAGGTCAGAATTAATCCTTATCTAAAGTAATCTTAAAGCACTGATAAAATGGTCATGATGTGACACACGGAACCATCAAAACAGACTACGCAGTCAAATTACATTATCTTAAAAGTACCTTCAAGACCTTTTTGCACTTGCTTTTTCCCTACTGAAACACAAGCAAAATGTCATCAGGCTAGTATCAGCCAACCATAAACTGGGAGCATGTAAAAGACTGGACAGGATTTAAACCACCAGCAGTGCAATCAGGCACCACATTTTACACGTAACATCAGGTTCCCCTCACATCCCAAAAGGAAACCTTCAAATACTGTACACTCAAAATGGTGAGCACGAAACTGCTCATGCCATCACTTCATATTTTGTTTAGTATGAAAACACTGGCTGTTTAACTTTGATTGTGAAATGACATTCCATCTAATTGCCATTCATTTTGTATTCACTATTGAAAGTTAAATACTTCATCACAAGTGGCAAACAAACAAGATTAACATTTGCAATATAAATTTAAGATCTAAATCTATAGCAACTTAATACACCACAGAAAATGCTTATCTGCAGAATCTACCAATCAGCTATAATAAGTCATTAAATGCCAACATAAATATGCTTTTTTTGCTCAACATAATGCTAACGTGCAGTAAGCAAACTGCCACTGTCAAGAGTTCACATACCTAAGGATGCACCATACAATTGTCACTGGTTTCAGCTCACTTTTAAGACATTTAGAAAGTACAGTTCTTTCCAGAACTTTTAAAACAAAAAAGTCCACCCTCAGACAATACTCCCAGAGAAGCACACCTCACTAGCGGTGCAGCTTTCGTATCTGACATTTAAAAACCTGCACAAACCTTATCCTGAGTACTGTGTTGTGCAAAAGATTATTGCAGTTTGTAAGTGAACTCAGGCACGTTATCTCAGGTCCAATATGCCACTGCTGCTGCTGTTTATCAGAACACCAACTCAGACTGCCTTTTGAACTCTTTGCTCTAATTAAAGAGTTTGCCCACACAGCTAATCAAAATATGAAAATCCAGGACGTGCAAATAGGAAGTCAAATGCTTCAATCTGAAAAGCTATAATTACAGAGCAGAAATGAACGTACAAGGAACAGAAACACCAGCAGAGACCACAAATAAAAATTCAAGAGGCATTCGCAGTTTATATATTTGGCATTTGATAATGCAATGACTGTACAGTCAAGTGCCAAAAATGAACCAGAACTATTACAAATCATATCTTTACCACACAGAGCTGCATGCAGCAACACACTTCCAGAGGACAAGATGATTGTATAGAGACCCTTTGCTATACTTAGGGTTGTTTGCCTACTGCCAATGATTGCTGCATGTTCATACCCTTCTGTAAAATGAAATTTTAAATATTTGGGCAGAAGTAACAAAGAGAAAAATATATTTTATGATACTGTTTGATGATGGTTTCAATATATATTGATACATTTGACACATTGATATATTTTTTTAAACAATGCATCCTAATGTAGTGTTTTTAAGTACCAATTGCTATTGCTGTTTTTCTAATGCTTAATATACTGAGTATTAAATGTTTTACACCTGAATTACAAAGAAAATGAGACAAAGTTGTGTTGATTTTCTGGGTTTTCTTCAGTGAATAGTTGTTTGAAACTGCGAAGTAGATGTGGGTCCTTCCACTACATATTCCCCACATAATGCCTTTTTAAATGGTAAATAGAGATTGAAGATTTTTGAGGAACTCCCACCTTAAAAAATCATGTGATAAATTAGTCCTTAAATTTCTTATTATTCTAGTTCTGTTCCTCACTGTAAAACCTACTTTAATGTACACAATGTGAGGATGCAGCCTTAAAAAAAGCAGGTTTCAGCCATTACAACTGCCTTTTCTGGGACACTTTCTCAGTGCTTTGTGGAAAGATAGCAGCTGAAAACAGTCTTCAGTTTACACAAGTATTTACAAAACTTTAGTCTCACTTTCACCTACTGCCATACAAAAGTAGATGCACTACACGACACTACTTCAATTAAAAATTCCACACAGATTAGTAACGCAGTGCAGATTTGCTGAAGTATTTGCATCTACTGACTGCAGTTTTACAAGTGGAACAATTCAGTGTGACAAAGTGAATCCGAATTCTAGCTGCTGTTCCACATTAATGAAATCTTGGGTTTGACTTTCTTCCTAAACCCAGTAAGCATACAATGCAAAAATAATTCATCAAATATTCCCATTGTTGCCTTCCAAACTGGTATCAAACAATTTCCCTGAGATCTAGAGTACCCTTTGAAGTGACATTTATATTTGCTTATGCAGCGATACTCTTCCCAAGCCTCTGAGTGTTCATTTAAAACTCACTCGTTACTCCAGAAAAACAAAAAAATATTAGTTTTAAGTTAAGCTTTTCTTTCTAAGCATACAAAAGCAGGTGCAAGTAGTCAAATAAGCATAAGTCTTCTACATTTGGGGCTTCTACATTATCCTTATATAAAAGAAAATGAGTTAAGGCAGTTTAAAAAGAGCAGTGTGGAATTTCAGGTTAATTTTCAAGCTACATTCTTTAGATGCAAATTTCAAAAGCTGTAGATAAAAAAACAAATTTTAGAAAAATAGCTGAAGTCTCTGGTAAGTGGCATCAATCCCAGGCAGGTAAAAAAAACCCCAAAACCCAAAGAAATAGTTTCAGTGAGCTTGAGAACAAAATGCATGAATGCTGTGTAACAGCATAACAACAAGGAAGAGCTTAGTAGATCACCAGGCAAATATTTTGCTATTTCAGAAAGAGAATTAAAGAGCAGTATCGCCTTTTTGTAGATGCATTTACATTGTCACACCACACAGTTCAAATCCCCACTTACTTGCTCCTCCTAGTGGAGGTCAGCAAGAAACAGTCCCGGTTCAATGCAACACTACTCCCCTCTTGCTTCCAAATATTAAGAATGAGGTCTTCCAGCATACATGTTATTTTGGTTATATATAAACTGACATACAGTAACTGGGGAAAAAAAACAACCAAAACAACTTAGTTCTGTGTCTCTCCCTATCCTTTTGAAATAATTTTTTTTCCTTACATGAGCCAGGCAGATTCAATATTGTCACACACACAACTTAATGATCTTATTCAACTGCCATATCATCTTAAATTACTTCCTTGCAGTATAAAATCCTGTAATTTCCTATGTAACATGTCACTTAGTTTTTAAAAGCAGAAATTAATCCAAATATTGGTTTTAGAAGATATCAATGCAATTAAGAAATTACACATTCATATTAGAAATAGCATTTTCTATGGACTTTTGTTCATCAGTCATCCTTTTTGCTATACAAAACCCTAGGGCCCAGAAATAAATTAGAGCAAATTGGAAGTCACAAACGAATTGCTACTGTGCAGGGAAAGGTTCATTTGCAAGATGATGTGATCAGCTTTTAATATGCAGCATCATGAAGCTGCCATATTGACTCTGCTCTTGAATATGAAAAAAATTTAAGTGAAAATGAGACACAGACTACTTTGGCACTTTCTCCTACAGTTACTGCTGCTGGTAACAGCACTTGAAATTTCTGTATGATACCAGGAGTACAGTAATTACATATAAACTTAGACAGAAAAAAAGCAAAAATCACGTTCAGACAGTTTGCCAAAAACTTAGCGCTGTGTAATTTTGCTTCCAGTTAATAGGAACATTTACCCAGGATCTCTGCCTACTAAAAATCAACAGCTTAATCTTACAACTGCATATGAGCCTGGCCCAACAGCCAAGAGTGCCATTCAATATTTCCCTTCATTAAGAGCTGAAGGTTAAGGGTGCCTGAAAAGTGTCTGAAAATGTTATTCTGCATCACCATCTGAGGGCTGTGCTATGAGGTTACTGGACCCTGAAAATTAATTTTGACAGGTGCATCTTCTCATTGACTTTCTGAACACAGTCAGGACTCGTGGAACCAGGCCAGGCAGTGTACTGTGACTAACACAACTCTGCCATAATCAACCTTGTGCCGTCTGTCCCACCACCAATACACGACTATTTTACAAAAAGGGTTTTAAACTGTGAGCCATACTAGCCTCTGCATGTCAAATCAATTTTAATTAATGCCAATAAAGCTTCCATCTGGTATCAAGGCCTTTTCATTCAGTCCTTCTCAAACAGTGCACAAGGATTTCACAGTCAGTATCCATGAAGCTATTTTCGTATACTTCACACTTTTTCTGCTAACATAATCTTTTTTTTTTCCTTTTTACCTCTGGTACCCAGGATGTTTATCAAAATTTTAATCATATAAAAAAGCATTTTTAAAAGGTATCAAATCAAGTCAACTTTCATAATAAAACAGGGTTGGCTTTTTGCATAAAACAAACATTGTTTATATTAAAATGGGCTGCTTTTTTTAAAAAAAAATGAACTCAATGTTTATATATAGATTCTGATCGTCATCTTTTATAAATGTGTAAAATTAAAGATTTTTAAAATTTTCTTTCTTAAATCTTGGCAGAGTGAGCCATTTGCAGACAATTACTCGACATGAACAACAGAAAATGAATACCAAAGAATAGCAGTGGATTAAAAACGATCGGAAAAGCATTTTGCTTGGCCACTGTCTCGCATCCCATCATTGGATTCTTACAACATGCTTCAGTGGAGAAGACGACACTGCTGCTTTGCAAAGATGACCTGGAATACCAAAAGGTCTTTGTTTCGCACCCATCTCATTGGCCTCATCTCTCTTGTGTTTCTTTTTGCTATGTTTCTGTTCTTTAATCATCATGACTGGCTGCCAGGCAGGGCTGGATTCAAAGAAAATCCCATGGCTTACACTATACGAGGATTTAGATCTACAAAAAGTGAGACAAACCACAGCTCTCTAAGGAACGCGTGGAAAGACACGGTGCCTCAGACATTCAGGCCTCAAACAGTCACCAACTCCAACAACACGGATCTGTCACCCCAAGGAGTAACTGGTTTGGAAAATACCCTCAGTGCCAATGGAAGTATTTACAATGAGAAAGGTACCGGGCATCCAACTTCGTATCATTTCAAATACATCATCAATGAGCCTGGGAAGTGCCAGGAGAAGACCCCTTTTCTAATACTACTCATAGCTGCAGAACCAGGCCAGGTGGAAGCCAGACAAGCTATTCGACAAACTTGGGGAAATGAAAGCCTGACACCTGGCATCCAAATAGTTCGTATTTTTTTGCTGGGGTTAAGCATTAAGATAAATGAGTACCTCCAGCATACCATACTAGAGGAAAGCAGACAATACCATGACATCATTCAACAAGAATACTTAGACACCTACTATAATTTAACCATTAAAACTCTGATGGGAATGAACTGGGTTGCATCCTACTGTCCACACGTTCCATATGTTATGAAAACTGACAGTGATATGTTTGTCAATACTGAGTATTTAATACACAAGCTTCTGAAACCAGAACTTCCTCCAAGGCACAAATATTTTACAGGTTATTTAATGAGAGGTTATGCACCTAATAGGAACAAGGATAGTAAGTGGTATATGCCACCTGATTTGTATCCAAGTGAACGTTACCCTGTATTTTGTTCTGGAACTGGTTATGTCTTTTCTGGAGATTTAGCAGAAAAAATCTTTAAGGTCTCTTTAAGCATCAGACGTTTACATCTAGAGGATGTGTATGTGGGGATCTGCCTTGCCAAGCTGCGAATCGACCCTATGCCTCCACCCAATGAGTTTGTCTTCAATCACTGGCGAGTTTCTTACTCCAGCTGTAAATATAGCCACCTAATTACCTCCCATCAGTTCCAACCTAGTGAACTGATCAAATACTGGAACCACTTACAGCAAAATAAGCACAACGCCTGTGCCAATGCAGCGAAAGAAAAAGCGGGCAGGTATCGCCATCGTAAACTGCACTAGAAGGACAGTTCTCCCTCTGCGAGACCTACACCATGTGCAATTTGTAAATACTGCTGAACGCATGTACAGTGAAAATGGATGAGCTTAATGGGACAGCCTTTAGTTGACACACCTCCCCCCCCATCACATAGTGGAGTCCAAAAATTATTTTTTTAAGTTGAAAAAAAGAGTATAGTTCTTGGTAACACTAATATTATGAAACCATAACCGAAAGGTTTTCCCAGCAAACTTGAGGAAAAAAAAGGCAATGGTATATAAGGATTTTTGTGTCAATGTGCAATAATAAGCATGCACACTTTGGTGGTACGATTGCTGATTTATGTGCCAATAAAGTATAACTGAGCATATTTTCCCACACTAAAATCTTATTTAAAAAATGCATTCATAGCTCTAGTTCTCTTCAAGGTAATGATTTCTTGTTCCCTAAAATTTCTATTAAGTGAAAAATGAAAAACTAAGGAAATGCACCAAGAGCAGATCAGTTTCACCTTCAAATAGCACATTCAAATCATTACACACTTCTTAATGTACAATACATTTGCAGTGTCACTTTTACGATTTAGTAAGACACTACCCATGAACTCTAAAACAGTAAGAAAGTACTACCCGAAAGTAGGTCCAGCTTGGGACTTACTTACTGGTTGCTTATTCCTGTTAGGAAAGACAGATGAATGAGATCTAAGTTGAGAAAACAGCTTTGTGCATCACCTTTGGAAGGGCAAATTGTGTTTTAAATTAAATTGGAGATTTAACTAGATTCTCCTCAAAGAGCTGACTACAAGTTACTTGATTCTCTAGAAATTGTAAGGCCAACTCCAAAAATCTGGTGTCAAGTAACATTCATCTTGGCATCTTGTTGCCAATTCAATCAATCTGCTATTAATTTCATTATGTAACTTCAAGGCAGCGCAAAGGCAGATCAGAAACACAAAAGGGAACTTCAGGTCTTTCACCATGGTCTTAAAAATGTTCCATTTTGTGGGAAGATGGAGAAAACCAACCAGATCTTTGATTTTGCTCTTTCCTGCCTGCTAAAAAAAAGAAAAAAGAATTAAAAAAAAAAAAAAAAAAAAAAAAAGGAAAAAGAAAAAGAAGGATCAAGTGAAAATTGGTCACAGAGAGAAAATTTAGCCACACACCTTACTTTACAGGTGGGGAAGACCAGGTCATAGGACGATTGAAAGTTACAGATAGCAATATGGGGAAGAACAAAATCTAAGCAATTTTCAAAATTAAAGCCACAACACGTACCACTGAAAATTCATTGTGAGAAGTAGCCTAAATCTATTTACAGGTTTCCAGTTTTCTAACAAACAGAACATTTAAGGCTCATTTTCCAACAGAGTTACAGTGGAATTGTATCAGATTCAGGTTATTACTGTTTGTCACAGTGCCAGGGTAAGCAATACCCACCTCTGATTGATTCAGCAGCAAAAGAGGGAACTGTGATTCCTTTTGTGTTTGACTGGGACTTTTTAATTGGATAAAATACAAATATTTGATGTACTTTTATTATTTAATAAAATTGATTCTATTTATGGTCGTCACACTTCATTTTTATGGGAAAGCTCCTCAGGACCATTACCTGACTTTTCTAGCATTCCCTAGTTCTTAAAGTCTTGTTTTCTTACTATGCACAATACAGAGATTACAACAGGCTTTTTTTTTTCCTTTGAATTGAAAACAGAAATTGTACTACTGAGCACCATCAGCAGCCCTAGGACCATCTGTATGCAGGAATGTAGACATGTGAACAGTGTGTATTGCACTGGACTAGCCCTCTTAAGAAATTCTAGGAGCTCTTACTCAAGATGGGTATAGGAATTTGCTCAGTGTAATTTCTATGGTGATCTTCCATTAAATTTTGTCACCTGCTGTATTTGAGTTACGATAATTATACATTTGTTCATTTCCAAGCTACCTCAAATCATAGAAATGACTGTTCCTGGGTAAAGTAGATGTGTATAAAAATAACTCTCTACAGAAGAGAGTTCTCCAACTAGATTGAAAGTGCATCCACTTATTTTGGTGATGACTACTGGCGTTCACGTAACACAGAGATGCAAGCTGCATTAGAAAGAGTCTTTGGGAGTTTTATTTCAACATCCATTTGTAATTTTCTCCATGTCAATCTGCATTCTTCCTTTCAGCTAACACAGGCCACAGTTAATATCCCAGTTGAAAGCCACCAGGCTTAAGTCAACTATATGGAAGCTTTACACAACAGTGCAAGTTTGAGAGAACCAGAGCAAGTGTTGAAAGCCAGCTACTCAAGGGTGTTCAGTTCTGGAAGATGTACAATCCTGTAAGTGGCCTCTGCCTGAGCAATGTTGGCCAAGAACAGACTCCATTCTCTTGGGGAGGACTTCAACACTGTTCCTTGCCTGCAGCACTCTACAGCTAGACTGAAATGTACTCTACTTGGATTTTACCAATTCTGGCTAGTTCAAAATGCTGTTACTGGCTTCTGGGTATAGTCCAAGAGGTTAATAACTAAACCTTAAATAGTTTGGCACTTGAAACAAAGTTTGGCAGTCAAAAAATCTCTTGGGTACTCCCCTTTGGAGCTCATGCAATGGTGTCGATCTGCCTGAGCTTGGCAGAATTACAGTACAATGCCTACGAGTTCAGTAAACCAAATTTCTTGTAAGTTAAAATACTAGAAGGGATATATGATGTTAATTAGAAAGCCATTTTTAGTGCCCTTTTAAGGGTCCAACATAGTTTTTACAAATTTGTATTAATGTTTGGGTACAAGTTGAAACTACTACATAAATATTGAAATATTATCCAGACAGCCAGAGGGTCCTTGAAGCTTTTTTATCCAAGTACTGTACTTCCAAAGTTTGTTACAGAGCTTTCAGAAATAGATGGGACAGAATTATGGAATGAAATATCTACATTCCATTCTCTGAATGTTTTTACTGCTTTCTAGCTGGTGTTTAAACTATTTGGTCACTCTACTAGAACATGAAAACAGTTCACATTAAAAATAGTGCAACCGTTATTTATATCACTAAAATCTTTGACATGTTCTCTCACTTTCTCTCCCCATAAAGCAACACAAAAAAATGCATTTTCATTAGCAGTAGGATACAACCTTGTATCTAAAAGTCTACCATGGCTGTAATGCAGTAAAAAAAACTCCAAACCCCAAAACCCTAAAGTTTACTCAATGAGGTATAGAAGTTTGTATAATAGTTGCTTTAAATGTTTTTACATCTGTGTGTCTGCTTCAGGTTGTAAACAAATACAAAAAGTCGTAGTGACTCAAAACGTATTATGGGGAAAAATGCAAGGTCATCAGTACCATACTTATGGAAAAGAAAGAAAAGTCTCAGAAAAATCAGAAATTGAAATTCCATAACTTTTCTCTACTTATTTAACTTCCAGCTAAATAAAGATTTACATATCGATACTAAATGACCAAACTGAAGTCCCACAAAAAATTGTTATTCACCAACAATGGAACTGTTCCTTTCATATCCCCAATTAAATAAATTATATTTTATTTGCAAATCACACATCTATAGATTTGAGCATGGAAAATGCACAACTATGGGGTTTTGGTGTAACAAAACTGATCCTACCTCCGAGACAAGCGCAGATTTTTCATGGGTAAAGTTCATAATCTGTTGTAGTCTGAAAAAAATTTCAGGTAAAGATGCTTCTAACAGTGATTGGTCTGAGGGAAAATTAAGTGTCCATTCAGATCTTCACTTAAACGTTAAGAATTTTTTAAAATTTCCTATACATTTAAAATCATATGATGATAGTGATCTAGAAAAGATGAGACAAAGACTGGCTTTCAGGTAAACCTTAATAGAATAGTAATTTAAATTTGCTTTTCTTTGCAATGCAGTGATACAATGCAGTGTGTCAGTCCATATTTACAAAATATTTTCAGAATACATTAACATGTTAAGACACACATTAACTGCCTCAAAACCCATGCTAAATAAGGCACTGGAGAGGAGGGAAGTGCCTAGAAGCCACTACGTTAGGCTGACCCCCATTCCTACTGATTTTCCTGATAGACTAACACAATCCCCAATCATATTGCAATCTAAAATACCTACATAATACCACATACCAAGAAAAATCTTCTCTTTTGAATGAATACTCATTGCAACATGTGAAAATTTCCTAGGATGAGATGAAAGGGACAGAGGAAAAATGATAATATAGATGTTACTACTTCTTGCATTTGTGCTATTAATGTGAATAGGCTTGTAACTGATTTGCAAAAGCACCAATGGTTGTTTACATATTTTTCCAATTTAAGAACCCATTTCTCTATCCTTATTTTATGCTATCAAATAACAAAAATATATAAATATTGGACAACTCCTTAATGACACAATAATAATTGCACCTATCAAATGTTAAGAGCATTATCATCCTTTTCATTTCAGACTGTTCTTCCAAAACAGTAAGCGATTTGGGTGGCACTCTGTCTCACCCTGGCTGACCACAGCAGCTTCAGACTGCACACCATACCTAATAGATGTGGCATTTACTGTGTTACTACAGACTACATCTCTAGCCCATCCAGTGCCACCTTGCTGCTCCAGCTCTGCCTTGCAAGACCCAGCCAGCAAGGGGAACACAGAGGGAAGCAGGGAGGCAGGGAAGCTGCACCTCCAGCTACGCTAGGAAAATGTAGGTCAGAAAGGAGAGAACATTGTTTTTGCTTTGTACCCACAGCAAGAGTGAAGTCAAAGGCTTTTTCGGGGAGGCTGGGGGAGGACTGTGGAGAACAACTTCCAACAACAGGTCAGTTAAAAAAAGCTCTCGAATGTCAGAAAACAAAGACTGAAACGAAGAAGGCAGCAGCTGATGAACGCCACAAAAAAAATCTAAGGCAGGCTCAGTGATAAGGGAAAGCACTAAAAGTGAGGCCAAATTAGAAAGCAGGATCTGAATTTCTAGTAGAAAGTGTTTGCACTTCTCCCCGTCCAGAGAAAATAAGAACCTATGAGGTAAATCCGTTCTTCTAAAAAAAATAATTCAGTTTGTGATTGCAGAGCATGCTTTTTATTGAGCTGTGTACCAAGGCAATTACAAGACACGCCACGGCAGCAGGTCACTAACTCCACAGAGAGTATTTTACATATAGGACTGTTGGGACCAAAAGCAAAGAAAAA